CACACACACACACACACACACACACACACACACACACACACACACACACACAAATGCCAACGCACAAACCCAACACAAATTCACACACAAACCCACACACAGTCGTCAGCCTCCAAACATATATCTACAAGCCTCTGGGGGCAGGTTCACGCACATCTCTCTCTCTCTCTCTCTCTCTCTCTCTCTCTCTCTCTCTCTCTCTCTCGCTCCCACCCACATGCACACAGACACAGACACACAAATGGGAGACAAACGTAATTGAACATGCACGGGCCCCTACTCATGTTAAATGCAAAGTTGGAATGACATTGAAGACACGATCACTGTGGGAATACAGTTCAGTATACATTTTCATCCAACATATGGATGCTGCCGGCAAGGTACATTGGACACCGCCCTTGCAGAAGACAATAAGGGTGCTTTAGTGGAAAAAATACAACCGTGGTTAAAAGCTGTCTTGCAGTAACAGCCCGTGGACTTCCCGTGACTGACCTAGAGTCCCACTCCAGTAGCATCTGGCACGAAGCATTGTAAAGAATTGTGACTAAGGACCAGTGACGAACCTGCAATGCCGTCAATGCCATCACAAGTTGAGACACGCATGTTTCCAGCTGCATCTGCTCCCCTGCTGCGTTTGAATCATTCTCTGTTCTGGTTCCTGTTCCAACCTCCTTGCTATCTCCAGAATCATCCTGCACACTGCTGACTTGAGCTGCTGCTTCTGTTTCTGTGCTGCTAATTGTACTACCTTCTGCATCTGAACTCGACCCCCTTTTGTGATGTCCCCCATATGGATCAACAATGTCCGCTCCCTCCGTTTTGGCATCCGCCTCCTCCCCATTTGACATGTCACGTGCTGCAGCATCACTTCTTCGATGGTCCAAAATTTTCTTCCTCTTGTCCACATTTTTCCGGATAAAGTTAAGTAGTGCTTCACAGAACTCCTCTGGGCCACTGAGCTCGAAGTCAGGCTGGTTATTATATACACGCAGATACACATTTCCGACATGCAGCTCCCTTGACAATGTCTCATACTGGAACGTCTTCGCACCCTCCAAGCTAAAGACTCCATCCACAGCACCAGACGCCCTCTGGTCTTCAATGAAAGAAAGTAATTCTGCCCTTGTGGAGTTATTCCAAATAATCTGCCACAGTTAAATTTACCAAAGAACAAAAGTAAGAATATAGCAGGCATTTCAACAACAAAAAAAGAAGAAAAAAAAAGAAGAAGAATAGAGCAGGCACCCAGCCCATGTGGATGAACGGCACCCAGCCCATGTGGATGAACGGTATACACATGCGACTGTCCATGAACAGATCGCGAGTTCAAATCCCGAGCGTGAATCGCAAGGATGCACTAAGGTTTGGGGCGATCCGAGTCAATCCCCTTAAAAAAAAAAAAAAAAAAAAAAAAAAA